CCCCCCCCCTCACACTGCCCCCCCCCCCGCCGCACCTCACACTGCCCCCCCCCCGCACCTCACACCGCCCCCCCCCCACCTCACACCACCCTGCCCCCCCCCCCCGCACCACCGCACCGCCCCCCCCCCGCCGCACCTCACCACCTACCCCCCCCCCCCCCTCCCGCACCTCACACTAGCCCATCCCCCCCCCCCCGCACCTCACACTGCCCCCCCGCACCTCACCCTCCCGCTTACCCCCCCCCCCCGCACCTCACACTGCCCCCCCCCCCCCGCACCTCACACTCACGACTGCCCCCCCCCCCCCCGCACCTCACACTGCCCCCCCCCCCCGCACCTCACACTGCTGCCCCCCCCCCCCGCACCTCACACTGCCCCCCCCCCGCACCTCACACTGCCCCCCCCCCCCGCACCTCACACTGCCCCCCCCCCCCCGCACCTCACACTGCCCCCCCCCGCACCCCCCCCCCCCCCCCCCCACCTCACACTGCCCCCCCCCCCCGCACCTCACACTGCCCCCACCCCCCCCCCGCACCTCACACACCGCCCCCCCCCGCACCTCCCACCGCCCCCCCCCGCACCTCACACGCACCCCCCCCCCCCCCGGCCCGCACCTCACAGAGGTCCTCACCAACACTTGGTACACCTACACCACGGTGATTTTCACTCATACGGCTACTTCTTAGTTCCTCTCTTACCTTACTGCTGACTGGTGTCTTACCTTACTGTTGACTGGTGTCTTACCTTACTGTTGACTGGTGTCTTACCTTACTGTTGACTGGTGTCTTACCTTACTGTTGACTGGTGTCTTACCTTACTGTTGACTGGTGTCTTACCTTACTGCTGACTGGTGTCTTACCTTACTGTTGACTGGTGTCTTACCTTACTGTTGACTGGTGTCTTACCTTACTGTTGACTGGTGTCTTACCTTACTGTTGACTGGTGTCTAACCTTACTGTTGACTGGTGTCTTACCTTACTGTTGACTGGTGTCTTACCTTACTGTTGACTGGTGTCTTACCTTACTGTTGACTGGTGTCTTACCTTACTGTTGACTGGTGTCTTACCTTACTGTTGACTGGTGTCTCTTGCCCTAGTGTTCATTGGTGTTACCTTAGTGATCTTTGTGAGAAGTGTTCCAGTGTGGGGGGCTGGTGTTGTGTACACAGACCAAGACCCAGCCAGCCATCACAGACCAAGACCCATCCAGCCATCACAGACCAAGACCCATCCAGCCATCACAGACCAAGACCCATCCAGCCATCACAGATCAAGACCCATCCAGCCATCACAGACCAAGACCCATCCAGCCATCACAGACCAAGACCCATCCAGCCATCACAGACCAAGACCCAGCCAGCCATCACAGACCAAGACCCAGCCAGCCATCACAGACCAAGACCCATCCAGCCATCACAGATCAAGACCCTCCAGCCATCACAGACCAAGACCCATCCAAGCCATCACAGACCAAGACCCAGCCAGCCATCACAGACCAAGACCCGCCAGCCATCACAGACCAAGACCCATCCAGCCATCACAGACCAAGACCCATTCAGCCATCACAGACCAAGACCCATCCAGCCATCACAGACCAAGACCCATCCAGCCATCACAGATCAAGACCCATCCAGCCATCACAGACCAAGACCCATCCAGCCATCACAGACCAAGACCCAGCCAGCCATCACAGACCAAGACCCAGCCAGCCATCACAGACCAAGACCCAGCCAGCCATCACAGACCAAGACCCAGCCAGCCATCACAGACCAAGACTCAGCCAGCCATCACAGACCAAGACCCAGCCAGCCATCACAGACCAAGACCCAGCCAGCCATCACAGACCAAGACCCAGCCAGCCATCACAGACCACATGGATGGGTCTCTGGTATATGAGTGTTGTCTGCTCTCAACACCTAATGTGTGTGTGTGTGTGTCCCTCTACGGTAGTTGTCCTGCTTGTTAGGTGTCATGAGCCAGGAGTGAGACCTGGTTGATACCTGGTTGATGGGGTTCTGGGAGTTCTTCTACTCCCCAAGCCCGGCCCGAGGCCAGGCTTGACTTGAGGCCAGGCTTGACCACTCCTTGCCTGTACCATGCACTCATTTACAATCATCATGAGGGCAAGCAACGGTTGGGACACCATGCTGTACAGCCGGGCATCATTGTCTCCGAGTCACTCTTGTAATCTCTTCACTGGAAATGTGAAAATTGGTCTTGTTAGTTTACCTGTTATTGCTTTAGTTTTAGTGGTCTGGTAGGCCTGGTCGACGACCGGGCCGCGGGGACACTAAGCCCCGGAAGCACCTCAAGGTAGGTAGTGTGGTATTATTCCGTTGTTACCTGAGGTGTGTGTGGTGGAGGTGAGCGAGTGTATGAGGATGTTCCCTGAGATGGGCGCCTGAGGTTGGGCGCCAGGTGGTCACCTTTGTCACCTTCCCACACACGCTCTAAATATCACACTCACCTTTTGTCTCCACTTGTACACAAAAAGTGGGTAATATTTGTTCATTTATAATCCGCTTTAAGTGTTATTGCCCCAAGTTTACCTGCACTGTGTGTTACAGTGGTTGGTCAGGTCCGGGGTGACGGTTATATTGTGCTTGAGCGTACACTATATTGACCCTTGTGTAAGAGGTGCACACATTAGGGGCAGGGTGGGAGCAAGGTGGGTGGGTTGTGCACTTGTACACCTGTAGGGTATGTGCTACAGAGTTGTGCATCACGCGCATATCTCTTCACATTCTCAATTTGTTTATTTTTGTTTTGCAACAATAAACAAAACTGCAATTAGTGTGAGGGTGCGAGCAACCGCGTGAGAGGCCTGGTGAGAGGCCGGGGGGGCGTGGGGGGCGTTGATCCCCTGACTCGCCACAAGGTAGCCACCTCCCAACATCACAGTCTCCTATATCTAACCTGCCCTACAACTACCCCCCCCCCCACAAATGTACTGTATAACAAAGTATTGTGTTGATATATACCTTACCTTGGTGGGTAGCCAGTGGTGGCTCCCAAGAGTAATGTCCCCGCCTTCCCCATCTCTCACCTGGCGCACTGGTAACACACTCCCCGCGCTACCTCACAAATTGTTGGAGGTTCGTATCCTGCCTGGGGAGGATTAACTAGGCGTCAATCCTTAACTGCTCGCCTCTGTTAACCCAGTAGTAGTTGAGTACGGTGTTGGTAATGGAATGGTGGGACGTGTTCTAGGGGAAAACTTGTGGGGGAAGGGGAAAAAACCTACTGTTGCCATGGAGTATAGAAAACTGAAGTTGTCAGCCTGCTAACAGGAGTGAAAGTCGTCTGTGGGGAAAAAAAGGCGATTAAGTATTAGACATGATTGATTATTCCTGACGGATTTACGTTGTTATTGTTTTTAGAATCAGCTACTGTGAACAAAACTTGCAAGTAGCACGGGCTATGGTGAGCCCGTAGTGAACTTACCTGGCACAGGAGCGGGACTGTATCTGACGGATTTACGTCTACTCATTGCGTGCAAGCTTTTCTGTATCGTTGCCAAATGGCTGCACCTACCGTGTCCAGACTCCTCCTCTGATGGGAACATGTCTGGACGAATGTTTGCGTGAGCAAATGGGTATTTCTCAGCTCAAGTGCACACCCAAGATGCAAGCGACTTAAGCACTTGACGCTATTCATATCCACGTGCACTTTACATCAGGTCGGATTACCGTCAAGTGGAGTATCCCTGGATAGACCTTGCCATGTCGAGTCTTGGTATAGTATGACGGCCAGCAAACAATCTCGGGTCATGCTACATCTTCAGGGAAAGCTTATTGAGCTTGCAGGCGAGGAGTCACAATAACGTGGCTGAAGTATGTTGACCAGACCACACACTAGAAATTGAAGGGACGACAACGTTTCGGTCCGTCCTGGACCATTCTCAAGTCGATTGGACCATTCTCACAATCGACTTGAGAATGGTCCAGGACGGACCGAAACGTTGTCGTCCCTTCAATTTCTAGTGTGTGGTCTGGTCAACTTATTGAGCTTGTACATTGCTTATGGTGGTTGTTTTAGCTGTAGCTACTCAGAAGGAAATGTTCATGTAGCAGGGGCTATAGTGAGTCTGTATAGTTGGGTTATTCCCGATAACCTTGTTACTGTGACATTGCTTATGGGTTGCCCCAACATCTTGAGGAAGTTGTACAGTCAGGTGATGGGGAGAAGGTCACCATCTGACCTCCGGTATTCTTACCTGGATGGCATGCCAGGATCTGCACGCCCACACACACTCTGGGAAGAAACCAATCAGAGGAAAGGCCAGTGTAGAGGCTGCCCTTTGGTGCAATCATATAGGGGGTTGTTGAGGCTAGCAAGCAGCGGCTTGAACCGGGACAGCAGCAAGAACATATTTTCAGGGTTATACCTAGGACAGACCGGCGTGTGTTCTCTCCTAGCCAGGGGTAGAAGCCACACTGACCTGGGGTGCTTATCTTGAGATTATCTTGAGATGATTTCGGGGCTTTTTTTTTTTTTTTTTTTTTTTTTTTTTTTTTTTTTTTTTTTTTAGTGTCCCCGCGGCCCGGTCCTCGACCAGGCCTCCACCCCCAGGAAGCAGCCCGTGACAGCTGACTAACACCCAGGTACCTATTTACTGCTAGGTAACAGGGACATTCAGGGTGAAAGAAACTTTGCCCGTTTGTTTCTGCCTCGTGCGGGAATCGAACCCGCGCCACAGAATCACGAGTCCTGCGCGCTATCCACCAGGCTACGAGGCCCCTGTACCAGGCTATGAGGCCCCTGTACCAGGCTACGAGGCCCCTGTACCAGGCTATGAGGCCCCTGTACCAGGCTATGAGGCCCCTGTACCAGGCTATGAGGCCCCTGTTGAACATATGTTGAACACTTGGGCATGGAGCCTTGAAATGTAGTAGTGAGATGTCTGTTTGCCTCTCTTGCTGTTCCTTCGACCATTGTAGGACGCTGTTCTTCTCGTGTTCACTGCATCAACTGAGGTGATGACCACCATATTTGTTCACATTGTTGTCAACATTGTATATTTGAAGAGACCATCTTCCACCATAGACATGGAGGTCACACATCTGGCTGTGTAGCAAGACGCCTCTGTATAACAAGACGTCTTGTTATTGTTGGTCTTCACTACAATATCTTTGGCCTTTATGCCAGTTATAATAAGCTGACACTCTTGCCCTTGCAGTTTTCATCCATTTTGTATTTGTCTTCATGAACCGATGGTTGACACTTGTCCAAGGCATTTCTACAGTTATTCCTTTCTCTCCTTCCCTCCATCTTGTTCTGGTAACCCTAACTACTCCTCGAGATCTGAAATGATGTTCCTTTTGTTCCTGCTCCTCTTCAGTTAAACGTTCCCGCCACTGTCACTCATACCGTCGTCAATAAATGGAATACCCTTTGTTAAATTTGTCTCCCTCCATGTGTTTCAATTTCTTTTCTCAATCTTAAAAATCTTTGACATATTGCAAGCTTTTGGACGATTTTTAACTCTGGACCCATCGTGTGGGGTGATGTCCTTACAAGTACCCAAGGCCGTCTTCTAAAACCTTTCGTCCTCGCTTCTTTTGTCTTGCCTGAATTCCGGAGAGCTGACTAATGTTGATTCTCACATTTTTCAGTCTTTCCTGCGGAGATCTTTCTTTCGGCTCCTTTTCTATTTATTTAGATCTGGCATGGAGAGTCCTTGACGACCCTCATAACAGTGACTGTTTTCCCCTTACTTGTTACCTTCTACATCTGCCCTTTCTCCTCCCCCCCCCCCCAACTAGGTAATGTTTGATAAAGCAGACTGGAAACTTTCCACTATCCATACTGCTCTTCCCTGCCTATTTGGTGCGTCTCCCACATGCTCTGTCTTCTTTTTCATGACATCTTAGTAGACGCTGCTCTCCACTCCGTCCCTCGCTATGCCTGCCTTGGCCCACATAAGCATGTTCCCTGGTGGGATTCAGGTTGCTCAGCCTGTTTGCTTTTAGTGTGCAGCCTGGAAGAGGCATCGTCGCCGGAATACAAATGAGAGTTCAGGATCCTGTCTTCATTGTTACTGTTGACGCCCCCCCCCCCCCCCCCGCTCCCTCACATCTGGAAGAAAGTCCATAAAAAGTCAATTTATTCCAGAATTGTTTCCTGTCCATCTCCAAGGTTCTGGTGTGACAGATCCAGTGTTGCTCGTAAACAAACTGGGTTTGTGTCACATTTCAGTGGTTAGCTCTGGTGCTCCTCATTCTTCTCTCCTCACTCCACCTCTGATAATCTTTTCACCTTTTCTCAACTCCAATCCAGTTTATCCCTCTGCAGTTGTATGGCAGTGGGTTTGGATAGTATTCACCGAGATGCTCCGTCATCTTTCCTCTGTGCTCCTTGCAGTACTTGCTGCATATCTATATTCATATTTGAGCAGACATCAATCCCCAGTGACTGGCTCCAGGCTCTTACTATTAGGAAACCTGGTACTCGAACGACGTCTGAGGATTTACAGCATTGCTCTGTCAACTTGTGTGTGAAAACTGTTTGAGCATATGATTAATGTGCATCTTATGTGGTTCCTACAATATCCTCCCAATTTGTTTTTCGCAAGTGTTGCTGCACAATGGATATTTTGGTGGACTTGGAGGTTATGTTAGTACTGTTTGTGCGGTCAGTTCCTCCATTCTTGCAACTGACAGCACAAACAGTACCTTAGCGGTCTCTAGTGTAGGTGAGAGAGTTTATGAGCATGTTCCCTGAGATGGGCGGCTGAGACCTCTTTTTGTGTACAAGTGGAGACAAAAGGTGTGTGGCATTTAGAGCGTGTGTGGGAAGGTGACAATAAAGGTGACCACCTGGCGCCCAACCTCAGCCGCCCAACCTCAGCCGCCCATCTCAGGGAACATGCTCATACACTCTCTCATGCTCTGCAACTGCACAACCCACCCACATTATTTTTTTACCTGGAGAAGGCTTATGACACCATCTGGAGATACAATATTTCAGCACAACTTCACTCCTTTGGGCTTCGTGGCAATGTGCTACTTTTTCTTCAAAGTTTCGTCTCCCTAGTCGATCACATCCGGTGAAGGTTGGTGATGCTTTCTTGGACCTTTTTTATCTCCGTAGTATGACGGTGTTCCTCAATATAGTGTTCTGAGCATTACTCTTTCTGGTTACAGTGAATGGTCTCCTTATCTTCTTTTTGCCTAGCATATGATCAGTCGTTTATGTTGATGAGTTCACCCTGTACTGTGGTGGTGAGAGCTCCTCTTCCTTCCAGTGTCGGCTCCAGCTGCTGGTGGATAACTTCCCGTCTTGGGCCACCGATCAAGACTTCAAGTTCTGTTATTAGGACTTGTGCTATGACTTTTACTCTGAGGCAGTTCATCCATCATCCTCCGTTATCACATTATGATAATTATGTATAGGAATTCAGCCAACCTGTTGGGGTTGATCTTTGACACTCGTTTGTCTTGGTTACCTCATGTTGCTCACCTCCAAGTTCAATGTTGTAAAGCTCTTATCGTACTTAAGGTCTTGTCGTATACCTTCTTGGGAAAGTGGGAGGGGGGGGGGGGGCTGATAGGCACACAGTATTTGCACTCCTCTCTTGTTGGCTGCTTCGTTGTTTTATCGGATGTGCTGCCTGCGCCCATAGATAAGGATCCTTATGGCAGAACTTGTGCAACTTTGTATGCTCTTCATCAGCTGCTTCCTCTTCACCAGTAACCTTTGTCATTTGGATTGACTTTCACAGTACCCTCATGGCTCCGGAGTCTTTTAACCAAGTGCATCCTGTGGTGGTCGAAATCCAGTTCTGGTTGTTTCTTATCTCTGGCTGGTGTAAGACTGGGATTTTGCTTGGTTCCCAGCCATATTGCAGTTACCTCAAATACACTTGTGGACGCCACCACTAGGGAGGCCATTCATGCTTGCAACATTTCCCGGAAAGGGATCCCTTATTTTGATTTCTACCTGGTCATGCATTCTGTAATTCTCGACCGTTGGCAGGATCGTTGAGCTGGAGTTACAGGTAATAACTGCGCTCTCTTAAATGTGACTTTTCCCCTTGGCCTTCCTCCTACCACCGTATTTAGTGATGGGAAAAGGACTTTGGCTAGGATGGCTGTGAGTCTCACACACCCTCTGACCTCAGTCACCTAGTGGAACAATGCCCTCCTCCCGTCCAAACACCATTGTCCCACAGTCGTGCACCTTGTACACTGTCCACATTTTCAGAATGACCGCATGTCTTGCTCTTTACGTCACTAAAGGTAGTTTGTCCCTCGATAGAATCCTTGGTGAATCCGTTATCATTGATACCGCTCACCTTGTGTCGTGTTCTGTTATTGGCATCTTGAGTGATATTTAGTGCCCTTTGAATCTCCAGCGACATAGAGGGTAATGTGTATAGTCTTCCCTGCTTGGTGCCGCCTGTTGTTAATTGCTTACTTTTCTTTGTTTTGATCTTTGCCGTAGACAGTTTAGGGAAGATGTTTTTAAGGTTACTGGAAGGCTGCCGACCCCTTATCTAGAGCTGTTACAAATTGTCACAGCTCTAGATAAGGAGTCGGCAGCCTTCAAGTAACCATAAAGCCATCTTCCGTAAGCTTTCTAAGCCAAAGGTCAAAGGACGTTTGATGGGAATAGTAGCCATTTGGAGCCATAAGCTATTAGAAAATAACACTAGCCAGGGACGACAGTTATGTTGCGAGGGTGTAATTGTCCACAAGTACTTCCTGTGGGGGCGAGGGTGGTGAGAGTCCCCACTACTGTTCTACCTCCCCAACCCTTAACCTACTCCACTACTGCTGCCCCACACCCTCATACACTCCACCTGCCGCCCCCACACACCCTCATACACTCCACCTGCCGCCCCCCCCACACCCTCCCACACTCCACCTGCCGCCCCCCCCCCACCCTCATACACTCCACCTGCCGCCCCCCCACACCCTCATACACTCCACCTGCCGCCCCCCCACACCCTCCACACTCCACCTGCCGCCCCCCCCACACCCTCCCACACTCCACCTGCCGCCCCCACACCCTCCCACACTCCCCCTGCCGCCCCCCCACACCCTCCCACACTCCACCTGCCGCCCCCCCACACCCTCCCACACTCCACCTGCCGCCCCCCCACACCCTCCCACACTCCACCTGCCGCCCCCCCACACCCTCCCACACTCCACCTGCCGCCCCCCCCACACCCTCCCACACTCCACCTGCCGCCCCCCACACCCTCCCACACTCCACCTGCCCCCGCCCCCCCCCACACCCTCATACACTCCACCTGCCGCCCCCCCCCACACCCTCCCACACTCCACCTGCCGCCCCCCCACACCCTCATACACTCCATCTGCCGCCCCCCCACACCCTCCCACACTCCACCTGCCGCCCCCCCCACACCCTCCCACACTCCACCTGCCGCCCCCCCACACCTCATACACTCCACCTGCCGCCCCCCCACACCCTCCCACACTCCACCTGCCGCCCCCCCACACCCTCATACACTCCACCTGCCGCCCCCCCCACACCCTCATACACTCCACCTGCCGCCCCCCCAACACCCTCCCACACTCCACCTGCCGCCCCCCCACACCCTCCCACACTCCACCTGCCGCCCCCCCACACCCTCCCACACTCCACCTGCCGCCCCCCCACACCCTCATACACTCCACCTGCCGCCCCCCACACACCTCATACACTCCACCTGCCGCCCCCCCCACACCCTCCCACACTCCACCTGCCGCCCCCCACACACCCTCATACACTCCACCTGCCGCCCCCCCACAACCCTCATACACTCCACCTGCCGCCCCCCCACACCCTCCCACACTCCACCTGCCGCCCCCCACACACCCTCATACACTCCACCTGCCCCCCCCACACCCTCCCCCGCTCCACCTCCCCCACTCAACTAGAACCGTTACTCAAGTCACCATTCACCGTGTGACTGTTGGCTGCTCACCTGGGGTCTGGGTGTGTGCACCACTCATAATGGTGGAGTGCCTCTGTTAAGAACATAAAATAGTAAACAATGATGGTAGCTGGTTTAGGCATAAGACGCCAGCTTGTGGTTCCAGACGTTTGGCATTAATTTTGTCAACCCATCCTCCGAATTGACACTACGGTTTAATACTAAGTGTAATAAGTACAATTCCTGACTGCCATACATAGTACATAATTGCACTTATGGGGCTGTTACATTTACCTCCCAATTTTTGGAGGACGGACTGAATTTTGTAAAGGCAGTTGTGTTGACCGACCAATCATATCGAACTGATAATTTTGATTGGTCAAGTTCCAGGAGGCACTGTCGGCCTGTATCAACCTCCAGGGTTTTTCTCTATTGTATTCCTTAAAGGTTCTCTCCTTAGGTTGATTTGTCTTGTGATGGGTGTCTAGTTCCCAGCACCCAGCTTGTAATTGGTGGAGTTGTAGTGTTGTAGCTCTTGGTGGTAGTGTTGTGTGAAGTGTGGTGGTGGACATGTGGCGTGACTGGTGGTAGTGTGGTAGTGGGGGCGTTGTTGTTAAGTTATGTACTGGCTCCTGTGATTAACCTGGCCACCAGTCTGTTCCCTCCACATCTACACACCTCCCCACACCCCACACCCTTCCTGCTCAACCTTGCCCCCTCCTCCTTGCTCAACCTCGCCCCCTCCTCCTTGCTCAACCTCGCCCCCTCCTCCTTGCTCAACCTCGCCCCCTCCTCCTTGCTCAACCTCGCCCCCTCCTCCTTGCTCAACCTCGCCCCCCTCCTCCTTGCTCAACCTCGCCCCCTCCTCCTTGCTCAACCTCGCCCCCTCCTCCTTGCTCAACCTCGCCCCCCCTCCTCCTCGCCCCCTCCTCCTCGCCCCCTCCTCCTCGCTCAACCTCGCCCCCTCCTCCTTGCTCAACCTCGCCCCCTCCTCCTTGCTCAACCTCGCCCCCTCTTCCTCGCTCAACCTCGCCCCCTCCTCCTCGCTCAACCTCGCCCCCTCCTCCCTGCTCAACCTCGCCCCCTCCTCCCTGCTCAACCTCGCCCCCTCCTCCCTGCTCAACCTCGCCCCCTCCTCCCTGCTCAACCTCGCCCCCTCCTCCCTGCTCAACCTCGCCCCCTCCTCCCTGCTCAACCTCGCCCCCTCCTCCCTGCTCAACCTCGCCCCCTCCTCCCTGCTCAACCTCGCCCCCTCCTCCCTGCTCAACCTCGCCCCCTCCTCCCTGCTCCCCCTCCCTGCCCAACCTCGCCCCCTCCTCCCTGCTCAACCTCGCCCCCTCCTCCCTGCTCAACCTCGCCCCCTCCTCCCTGCTCAACCTCGCCCCCTCCTCCCTGCTCAACCTCGCCCCCTCCTCCCTGCTCAACCTCGCCCCCTCCTCCCTGCTCACCTCGCCCCCTCCTCCCTGCTCAACCTCGCCCCCTCCTCCCTGCTCAACCTCGCCCCCTCCTCCCTGCTCAACCTCGCCCCCTCCTCCCTGCTCAACCTCGCCCCCTCCTCCCTGCTCAACCTCGCCCCCTCCTCCCTGCTCAACCTCGCCCCCTCCTCCCTGCTTAACCTCGCCCCCTCTTACCCCCCCCCCAGTACTCCTCATGTCTCCCCGGACACAGTTCATCACTGTATTGTTCCCTTTCCTCTGATAATTCATATATTAGTGTGGATGATAATGTGCAGAAACTGACTAGTTGGTGAGTAGCGTGGGAGGGAGGGGGGGGGGCGTGGGAGGGAGGGAGGGGGCAGTGAGAGGAAAGGCAGTAGCGAGGGGGGGGGGGATGTTAGAGGTGAGGGTTACAAGTACAGTTTACGTAGCGTGCGTGCGTGCGTGTAGGGTGGGGACCCCCACCCGTGGTGTGACATCATTACAGGTACACATGTCTCCTGACACATGTTGCCGCCGGTCGTGTCTCCCTGCCCCCTGTGTTGCTGGCCTCATGGTGGGGGGGGGGGGTAGCTACCCTGGGGTCACCGAGACACGTGTGAGGCAGGTGTGCGGCAGGTGTGTGGTGCAGGCAGGAATACGGTTGATGGAGGGGAAGTCGTCCCTCCCCTCATGCAAGGGGAAATACTTCACGGTCTGCCTATGTCCCCACGCCATAATTTGGATGTAATTTGCATGGTTATCACAGTTTTTGGCCGGGGTGCGTGTTGGTCGGTCCCCTGCCACCCCTGCCCCTAGCCTGTGGTGGCTGTCACCCCCCACCACTGTCCCCCCCCCCCACCAACCCTCCATCACCGCCACACACACCCCCCCACCTCACCGCCACACGCCCCCCCCACCTCACCGCCACACGCCCCCCCCCACCTCACCGCCACACGCCCCCCCCCCACCTCACCGCCACACGCCCCCCCCCCCACCTCACCGCCCACCCCCCCACACGCCCCCCCCCACCTCACCGCCACACGCCCCCCCCCACCTCACCGCCACACGCCCCCCCCCACACCTCACCGCCACACGCCCACCCCCCCCCCCACCTCACCGCCACACGCCCCCCCCCACCTCACCGCCACACGCCCCCCCCCCCCACCCCCCCCCCCCCACCCACCGCCACACACGCCCCCCCCCCACCTCACCGCCACACGCCCCCCCCACCTCACCGCCACACGCACACGCCCCCCCCACCTCACCGCCACACCCCCCCCCACCTCACCGCCCCACACCCCCCCCCACCTCACCGCCACACGCCCCCCCCACCTCACCGCCACAACGCCCCCCCCCACCTCACCGCCACACGCCCCCCCCCACCTCACCGCCACACGCCCCCCCCCCCCCTCACCGCCACACGCCCCCCCCCACCCCCTCACCGCCACACCCCCCCCCACCCCCACCGCCCCACCCGCCCCCCCACACCCCCCCCCACACCGCCACACGCCCCCCCCCCTCACCGCCACACGCCCCCCCACCTCACCGCCACACCCCCCCCCCACCTCACCGCCACACGCCCCCCCCACCTCACCGCCACACGCCCCCCCACCTCACCGCCACACGCCCCCCCCACCTCACCGCCACACGCCCCCCCCCCACCTCACCGCCACACGCCCCCCCCACCTCACCGCCACACACTCACCGCCCCCCCCCACCTCACCGCCACACCCCCCCCCCCCACCTCACCCGCCCACACGCCCCCCCCCACCTCACCGCCACACGCCCCCCCCCCACCGCCACACACCCCCCCACACCTCACCGCCACACGCCCCCCCCACCTCACCGCCACACGCCCCCCCCCACCTCACCGCCACACGCCCCCCCCCCACCTCACCGCCACACGCCCCCCCCACCTCACCGCCACACGCCCCCCCCCCCCTCACCGCCACACACGCCCCCCCCCACCTCACCGCCACACGCCCCCCCCACCTCACCGCCACACGCCCCCCCCACCTCACCGCCACACGCCCCCCCCACCTCACCGCCACACGCCCCCCCACCTCACCGCCACACACCCCCCCCCCACCTCACCGCCACACGCCCCCCACCCCCCCCCACACCTCACCGCCACACGCCACCCCCCCCCCACCTCACCGCCACACGCCCCCCCCACCTCACCGCCACACGCCCCCCCACCTCACCGCCACACGCCCCCCCCACCTCACCGCCACACGCCCCCCACCTCACCGCCACCCCCCCCACCTCACCGCCACACGTCCGCCCCCCACCTCACCGCCACACACGCCCCCCCACCTCACCGCCACACGCCCCCCCACCTCACACCGCCACACGCCCCCCCCCACCTCACCGCCACACGCCCCCCCCCCACCACACCGCCACACGCCCCCCCCCCCACCTCACCGCCACACGCCCCCCCCCCACCTCACCGCCACACGCCCCCCCCCCACCTCACCGCCACACGTCCCCCCCCCCTCACCGCCACACGTCCCCCCCCACCTCACCGCCACACGTCCCCCCCCACCTCACTGCCACACGCCCCCCCCCCCCCACTGCTACACACCACCGCCCCCACCCCACTGCACCCCCCCCCCACCTAACCGCCACACGCCCCCCCCACCTCACCGCCACACGCCCCCCCCACCTCACCGCCACACGCCCCCCCCACCTCACCGCCACACGCCCCCCCCCACCTCACCGCCACACGCCCCTCCCACCTCATCGCCCACACACCGCCCCCCCACCTCACCGCCACACGACCCCCCCCACTCATCGCCACACCCCCCCACCTCACCGCCACACCCCCCCCCCCCACCTCACCGCCACACCACCCCCCCCCCCACCTTAACCGCCACACGCCCCCCCCCCACCTCATCGCCACACGCCCCCCCCCCACCTCACCGCCACACGCGCCCCCCCACCTCACCGCCACACGCGCCCCCCCCCCCCCACTTCATCACCACACACGCCCCCCCCCCCACCTCATCGCCACACGCGCCCCCCCCCACCTCATCGCCACACGCCCCCCCCCCCCCCACCTTACCGCCACACGCCCCCCCCACCCTCATCGCCACACGCCCCCCCCCACCTCATCGCCACACGCCCCCCCCACCTCACCGCCACACGCCCCCCCCCACCTCATCGCCACACGCTCCCCCCCCCCCACCTCACCGCCACACACGCCGCCCCCCCCCCCCCCACCTCACCGCCACACACGCCCCCCCCCCCCTCACCGCCCACACACGCCCCCCCCCACTTCACCGCCACACGCGCCCCCCCCCCCACCTCACCGCCACACGCACCCCCCCCCCCACCTCACCGCCACACGCCCCCCCCCCCCACCCACCACCACACGCCCCCCCCCCCCACCTCACCGCCACACGCCCCCCCCCCCCCACCTCACCGCCACACGTCCCCCTACCCACGTAACCGCCCCCCCCCCCCCCCCACACACACTGAGTGCCAAAGGGTCTGGCCCGGGTTCGATTCCCGGCGGAGGCAGAGACAAATGGGCAGAGTTTCTTTCACCCTGATGCACCTGTTACCTAGCAGTAAATAGGTACCTGGGAGCTAGCTGTTACGGGCTGCTTCCTGGAGAAGGGGGATTGTTAGTAACAGTTGATTGTTTGACAGTTGAGAGGCGGGCCGGAAGAGCAGAGCTCCACCCCCTCCAGCACCACTAGGTGAGTACACACCTCACCCGCACGCACACATGTGTTGAGTGTGTGTGTGTGAGGTGCAGGTGTGGAGTAGGTCCGTAGTGAGAGGTCGGGCAACATACCGCGCTGCTAGTGTTTACCCTTGTTACCAACATATTGGCTAACATTATGTGGCAGTAAGGTCTACCTTCTTACACTCTCTGATGATATATGTTTACCATATTTAGCGGCATTATATATGGCAGTAATTTTGGTTACTTCTTCACTCACACCACACCACTTGCACTAACATCACACATAAGAAAAGGTTTTGAAAGAGTGATTAGCAATCAAATTTCTAGTTTTATGGAAAATAATGAGTTACAGGGTTAATGAGTTACCCAGGGCAACATGGGTTTAGAGCGGGAAGATCCTGTCTGTCACAGTTACTCAACCACTATGACAAAATCACAGAAGCCCTAGAAGAAAAGCAAAATGCAGATGTTGTATACACAGACTTTGCAAAGGCGTTCAACAAATGTGACCATGGGGTGATAGCTCACAAAATGAGGTCAATGGGAATAACTGTTAAAGTAGGACGCTGGGTACTCAACTTCCTGTCGAACAGAACACAAAGAGTAACAGTCAATCAAATAAAATCGAGTCCAAGCGCAGTTAAAAGCTCTGTACGTCAGGGTACAGTCCTTGCACCGCTACTGTTCCTTATTCTCATATCTGATATATATACAAGAATACAAGTCACAGGTTCGTATCATCCTTTTCAGATGACACGAAAATCAGCATGAAAATTACCTCTGCGGAAGACATTGAAAAGCTACAAGCAGATATTAACAAAGTTTTCGACTGGACATCAGAAAATAACATGATGTTTAACAGTGATAAATTCCAAGTACTCAGGAACGGCAAAAATGAGGACCTTAAACATAATACAGGGTACAAAACACAATCGAATCTTCCCATAGTAGAAAAACAGCATGTCAAGGATTTGGGAATAATGATGTGTGACGACCTAACGTTTAGGGAGCATAACCAAGCAAATATTGCGTCAGGCAAAAAATGATAGGATGGATTACGAGAACTTTCAAATCCAGGGATCCCATCACAATGGTTGTACTCTTCAAGTCACTTGTGTTGTCCCGTCTCGAGTACTGCTCAGTACTCACTTCCCCCTTCAGAGCAGGAGAGATTGCTGAAATAGAGGGAATACAGAGAACATATACGGCACGCATAGACGAGATAAAGCACCTAAATTATTGGGATCGTCTCAAAGCTCTGCAAATGTACTCACTAGAAAGGAGACGAGAGAGATACCAAATAATATACACATGGAAAATACTGGAGGGCCAGGTCCCAAATCTACACAGTAAAATAACAACGTACTGGAGTGAACGATATGGAAGAAAATGCAGAATAGAACCAGTGAAGAGCAGAGGTGCCATAGGCACAATCAGAGAACACTGTATAAACAGTGGATCAATTAGAGGATAACTAGAGGTACAGAGTGGTGGTGGAGGGAGCCAGCATCAGGTGGCACAGTGTACCCGCCCAGATGGT